AATGCGATGGAAATCATTTCTGTGGAAAAACAAAACAAAAAAAACCCCCAGAAATTTTACGCAAACTTAATTTATGTTCCACTGAAGAAAGAAAGACATGGATATCTTGCATTTGGGTTAATACATTTTCATTTTGAGGTGAACTAATCCTTTAAAGTCCCTGTAAAGGCAATTCTACAAAAAAAGTTCTAAACGCATTATAAATGTTACATATGTATTGCTAAAACATTACAAAGTCTGTGAACTGTGAAGTACTGAAATGTGGAGTTAGACCGTTAAACAGTTTTCACCATTGCAATTTTATGGATTGTTTGGGCGGGGCTAAAACAGGGCTCGATGACGCACTGGAGCCCATGAGCTCCTGGACACGCCCTAGTTGATGACGCACAGAGTCTGATCTCTCCCTTAACACACAACACTCCCCGAGCACATTCGCATTCACCGCTCAATCGCGAGTGACTGTCAGTACAACTACAGCTGAGCCTACAGTTTGCTAGCTAGCTATACCTTCGACACAGACATGCATAGGCTACCTGGATGCGATCATGTACAAAACAGATCGGTATCTTCATTTAAATTCCCTAAAAACGATCACATCAAGAAGAGGTTTTTAGAGAGCCAACCTTGTTGATGAAGAGCTGAGGATCACCCAACACCCGCCTCTGTAGTGATCGTTTTACACTGAATAGTTTTATAAACTTTCCTCAGAGACAACTGGGATTCATTGATGATCCGCTGTTGCTGGTGAACGGGGCCGAAACGACTATCTCCCGCCTCAGCGTTCATCCTCCCGTCGCGAAAGCAGTTTTACCTTATATCACTGTCGACAGCTCCCACTAATGGCCGTGGTTTCAGCACAGCCAGCAAACACGCCCCAGCGTTTGAGAACAGAGATAACTGCTCATTTTTTCAAGATTTTGATAGCTTATTTTATGTACTTGCCGGCTTTTTTATCATTTAAATTTGGCTGGGTGGCTAATAACACATTTTTCTGTGGTGTGACATTCTCAGAACACATACTTAATTTTGACTTTACAGGGACTTTAATATCTATGATGAATGGTTATAGAGATGAATGTTCTTTGGACATATGGCATTTAGAAAATAATCTTTTAAATTATCCAAACTGTTCTGATATAGCAAGTCCTAGTGCAACACATTTACTTGATTGTGTCAGTCAGCTAATTTGCATGTTAATTTCTTTCAGTTTTGCTAAGAGAGATATTGACAAAACAAGAAATGCTTCTAGACCAGCAAAATACAATAATGAGAATCCTACAGTCAACACATCGCCCAAGGTCTGATGTCCATGATGGGGCCAAGTTCAGAGATCGTCTTCCTATCAAAAATGTTGAGTCTCTCCAGTGCCTGGAGGCTGAGCTGAAGATGAATCCTGATGCTAAATCAGAATTGGTAAGAAATAAAATATAGCCTAGTAGTTTGAAACAGTAAAGAAATAAAATAAAATGTAAATATAAAATACTTCATGGTCTTCCCTGCATGAATTAAATATAAATCTCTTCTTATTAAAGGGGTTTATATAATGCCATTTTTGTACAAGTTAATATGAATGTTTAAGGTCTAAATGAAAACTTTGTAATATACTTCTATTAAACATTCTCATTTGTGTTTTAAGAAAACACCATTTTACAGGGTCAAAATCAGCTCTTGTTTTCAGCAAGCTGTTTGAGTCTCATATGTATGAAGGTAAAATGATGACAAAGAATTGCATGTGCAAGGTAAGATTTGTGAAAGATTATATAAGATTGCAAGCGTAAAATAAATTTGCATGCGCAAAGGAAGATTTGTAAAGGTGTAAATCGCCCTTCAAGTGTATATTTGCAGCATTTAACTGTTATTCGTAAGTGTAATTCATGTATTTTGAAGCTGCAGCTTCATGCTAACGCAAAATAAATAAGATCTGTTTTCTTCAGACTTTCGTTTTTCCACGCTTAATCTTTTGACAAGGGTTTTGCGCACAACTGCGGCCAAAAGTATTGCAAGCCTAAGAACAGCAGTCTGCAAACGAAAACAACAGAGGCAGAACTGCAAAACAGATGAATTGCGTAAAATTAAACTTTGTGTAAAAAAATAAACTGTTGCCAATGTCTGAATGACTTGTGGGCATGGGTAAAAAAGTTCCCAAAATAACCCGATCTGTACAGTTGCGTCTCTCTTTTTCCTGCGCTTCCAATTTTGGCACGATTCTCTCACTAACCGAGTTTCGCAATTTTACGCTTGCAATCTTATGTACTCTTTCACAAATCTTACCTTGCGCATGCAATTCTTTTTGTCATCATTTTACCTTCATACATATGCCTTTAAATAATAAACCCCGCCCCTCTGTTCTGCGGGCGTGAACCCGTTGCCTTGACAACAGTTGAAGGTTTCTGAGGACACATCTGTGCAACCGTATCAGTTTGAACTGGAGTAACTGTTCACCGGAACAAGATGAGGGCCGCAAAGAAGTTCGATTAGTTAAGGCTTGAGGATGTTTGTGAATGCTTGGTTAACGTAATGTTACTTTGATCTATCTGGCAGGGTAGAGTAGTGAGATACGAACGCTGTGTTTACTGATGTATACGTTAGTTCATTGATTGACGTTACAACTAATGGTCATGAAAAACTTTTTCCTGAGATATGCACAGATTAATATAAAGATTAATAAAACTTTAGGTGCAGAGGGAACATAAACAGTTGGTACCGATTCTTTTTGTCAGGAGCAGCTTAGCAAAACCAGCTGTATACTGATCCTCGTTTATAAAGCAGTCTGGTGATAAATGAATCGCGCAAACAAAAAAGTATTGACGTTGATATTGGGGAATATTCCCATTGTAAACAAAACTCATCTTCAGCGGTTTGGATTTAGGAACATCAGAATGATTTCTGAGTTTGTTATATCACCCAAGAACAGAACAACACAATCGCTTAGACGCCATTCTGCTCCAGTGTATCAACAATGACGGACTTTAGTCTACGATGACAGCTCGCTCAGGGCGGGTCTGTGTTGAAACACTGCTGTCAATCAACAACCACGGGTATATGACCCCTTTAAAGCTATAACGGTGCATTCACACGGGGCGAACGTTTTTCCCCCCCATTTACTTTGAATGGCTGACACAACACACACAGACGTCCCTGTAATTTATAGATAGGTAGATGGTATGTATTGTCATACTGCCCAGCCCAAACGTGCGGTATAGGTTGGGCAATGACAAGAATTTCCATATAACAATCCTAGAAAATGTTTTCAGATGGAGTATGTGATGGTTTATAGTTAATTTTTGAATATAAAAGCATTTTCATTTTAGGGTGGTCTATTTAAATGCCTGTTTTACCACTTACACAATGTTTTTTATATTTTTTCGGAGACTACCTTTCTGGGTCTGGTTGGTGGCTTTGACCTCAAAGACACCGTGTGGAGAGTGCTGAAAGCCACTTTTACAACTGCTGTTGCACGTGTTATGAATTGGAGAGGAGTTAATGGGAAGATTGGTGTCCACAGCCTGGTCTTAAAGGAAGTTGTCATTGGTAAGAACCTTTTTTAGAAGTCATTTTTTATTTGTAAGCACTTTGGACAATAGAGGTGTTAACCTACACTGGTCTCACGGTTCGGTTGGATTACGATTATAAAGTCTTCGGTTCGGTTCGATTATCTCGATGCATTGACGATGCACTGCATCCTTATTTTTTACAATTTTGTCAATAAATACAAGCAGTCAGATATATGAACTGAACCTTTAATTTTACCTAAAAAATACACTTCTTGAATGTATCAAACATGAAATAAAACTCAAGTCTTGGCACAGAAGACAACAGCAGCATTAGGTTAGAACACACAAAAAGTACTAAAAGTGCATAATGCAGGGAGTGTACTTAAATACTTATATAGTGTAATGTACTTTGTTGTAAAACATTTAAATATTGTCAAAATGTATAAATATTAAATGAAATTACAAACCAAAATAAACTAGAGGCCAAATCTACTTGAATATATTCACTATACAAAAAACTAAATCTGCAGTTCAGTGGTGTTTTTTTAATACACAAAAAGAAAAGCAGATTGAGTAGAGATGACGTATATATAAGATGACGTACTGATATAGCCGGAGGTGCAAAACGTTCTGTTTACAAGCAGTACGTCATCTTATACGGTAGGGGGCGGTAAAACTCCTAAGCGGTGAGCAGCCGGTAACAAAAAGTAGTCGAAGAAGAACGGTCTCGTCTCAGTTCTCGCGCATGCGCCCATAAGGAAGTAATGGAAAGTCGAATAAAGTCGTTATTTACGTTTTTTTTTTTCGCACAAAAAGTAGTCTCATCGCTTGATAAAGTTATAGTTGAGCCACTGTAGGCACATGGAATATTTAAACCTTTTCTTTTAATGACTTTCTGGGCCGTCAAGAGGCAGTCCCTCAGGCTGTCTATGGAAAAGTGATCCAGCCCTCAGATTCAATCAAAAAATATCTTTATTTGTGTTCCGAAGATGAACGAAGGTCTTACGGGGTTGGTACAGCATGGGGGTGAGTAATTAATGACTTAATTTTCATTTTTGGGTGAACTAACCCTTTAACAGGCTGCGATGTCAAAGATTGCAATGCTGGAGTGTGAAAGCTGTTTAACTGACGTCTTTCCACGGTTGAAACGCTGATTGAGCGAATCAATGTGACATGATACGAATTTGGATAAGTTGTCCTCTATCTTTAACACACTTTCAGATGCTCATTCATGTTTATTTGGCGCTGTGACTGGTATTATTAAGCCGGAAGAGAGATCAGCGCTGCTGCTTCTCCAGAGCGATCTCACGCCACAGCGACAAAACCCTATTTATGTTTTTGAATTTCTAAAGAAAATGGATGTAATTTGAAAATTGAGACTTTGCTTCATATCAATAGTAACAAAGGAGAAAGATGATTGCGATTTTTTTTTTTTTTTTTTTTTTTTTTTGATGATCAATGATCCATTCATTCAAATGAAGCGGGATGAATAATCGATTCTTGAGACTTAAGAATCGATATCGGTTCGTAAAAATGAGAATCGATTAATATCGAGAAATCGATATTTATTACCCAGCCCTAAGGGAGAGGACAAAATAGTTGAGCGTGGTGAAACCTGTGATTTGTGGAGGGAAAATGTGTTATGCGGTGTTATCACATATGTGACGTGTAGTCTTTCTCGTTATGTCTATTCCACAACTGCTAGCCAAAGAATCATACAATAAACTCGTTACATGAGAAATTATATAAAAAATTCACAGACAACATATGTCACATTCATGGCACAATTCAAACGGGATCAGAAAATGATTATTTTCTCTCATTCACTTGCATTGACGCTTTTTCAATCTAGAGGTCCACTCGGGGTACCAGCTCTACCCCTTCGCATAATTGCGTCACTTCATAAGGTTCCCACGGATACAGGGGGAAATGGCTGCTCGTGTGAAGCAAACGCACATTTTTCAACTTTCTGCTAAGATATGTGCCTTTTTTGCAATGAAAATGCAAGGATTATGAGATTGCACTGAAATCAGCAATTTATGCGGCGAAAATGCGGCCCCCGCATGAATATTCAGGGTGGCCACGGGTCATTAAAAAGCCTTAAATCAATTTTCCTAAAAATAAGGCCTTAAAAAGTATTAAATTGTCTTAAATTCAGATTGGATGGGTCTTGAATATGCAATATATGCATCACATATGTATATCAAAGGCAATCGTTCGCCAGCCAGGTCGAATAGTTTCTACAAGGTAACGTAACCTGTGTGTGTTAGAGAAACGCGGGTGCGATCATATTTGTGTAGGCCTATACTCTCATTAACAGGTTAAAGAAAACACTCTGTAAAACGCTACAAATCAAAGTGGAAGTAAACACATTATAATAAAACAAACCCGCGATAGATCGGTCATCTTCACTGACTGTGCATGTGCGCTCACATTACATCACGCATACAATAAAGAACACCATAGAAGAAGTCATCTTAAAGGCATACAAACATGTCATGAACACTACTGAACACTAGGTGGCCGTTACAGAGTTCCATCTTTTGGACATTCATCATATCGCATTGGTTTTCATTTCTTGTCCTCAAAACAGGGCACTAATCTGTTTATTTTTAAGTGTTTGTAGTATCATTTTATACGGAAATCAATTATTTATAATTCTTATGATGAGAATAAAGTTAGGATTAATTAAAATTAAGGAAAATAAATATATCGATCTGAAAAATAGCAAATTAATTTTAATTTATTAATTAAAAGGTACAATAACCAAACATATCTCAGTCTTTTTTTAAATCTTTTTATTTGTTTAATTAACCAACGAATTATATAAAACTATTAGTACACTATAAATAAACTGGTTATATGCCTTTATTAGTAAATTAAATCTACGCCTTTATTAGTATACTTTATTATTAAAACATACAAGGCTTAAGACATTTATAAAAATGCCTTCTATATTTCTTTTCACTCCACAGGCGACCGCATGTACGCAATTGACAATTGGTTATTGTCATTTCACCATATTTTTGAACAGACAGTGTGTTTACTTGGAAATTGTACTGTATATTTTCAGTATTAATTTATATTTCCATTGTAAGTTTGGTCTTAAATTTAATTTAGAAGTGGTATTAAAAAGTCTTAAAAAGTTTATACCTGTAGCCACCCTGAATATGCAGACTTCGGCTGATTATGCATTGAATTCGGCGATCGCATAATCACGTTTTTCTGGAGGGACTGGTTTCTATCACCGCACAGCATCCGAAATGAACGGTGCACGGTGATGCATTTTTCGCCGATCAATAAATGTCCCAGGTTGACCTCTCTGCAACAGATTGACTCCGGTGCGGTGTCCATGCTCTAGCACCACCCGCGCCCACTGTCACTTCCCCCCAAACGATCCTGTACTGTAAGTAGGGCATGAAACTGATCGTCCTCCATGTCCTGGTAGTCAGATACTTCTGGCCTTTCCTTCACGGGCTCAAATGCGTAATCCATGCCGTTAAAATTGCTCATTTTCGTCTGTGTATATAAGACCTGCAGATGTTGTCTATGTAGCTTCACGGGTCATACCATGCCAGTGACGTCATCGAAATTGCCAGTGCTAACAAGCACAATTTTTGTGTTGATTCTAAAAAGCTATATTAATATGTTTTATTAAAATGTTTAGTGTAATTTACTTTTAATTGCCATAACACGTTTTCAATGTCGATTTTTTTTCAGTTCATCTTTAAGTGACTGCATTTTTTTATTTATAAGTTGTTTTTTTGCATAAAGTTATCTTTTTATTTATTTTAAAGCTGTAATCACAATAGTTTTGCTTGAGATTATCATACTGTACATTATCATACATGCAGTGTTGTTGTTTTTTTATTTTAACTGATTGCTGAAAAAGTATTCTAAAAATATATTATATAAACAAAATTTAAATAATTTGTCTTAAGAAATTATGGTATTATTATGGCCCACATTTTGCAATTCCCTTTTGAAAATATACTGATTTTCTCTCTCTCTCTCTATGAAGAGTTCAGATGCAAAAGCCTCTAAATGCCATTTGAAATCAAAGTTATCAAATACAAGTTATCAAACTTGTATATTTAAGTTCAGTGATTTCACTTAAATGGCAATGATAATTACCTATTAATTGTTATTTAAGTGAAATTACTGAACTTAAATATACAAGTTTGCTAAAATCATTATTAAAGAAGAAAATTTCAAATGGCATTTAGAGGCTTTTGCATCTGAACTCTTCATATATATATATATATATATATATACACACACACACACACACACACACACACACACACACACACACACACACACACACACACAGTGGTCAATCAGAGGTGGTTTATAATTGAAATTAAAATATTAAAGGAAATAATAGATATTTTATGATTTATTTTTTTCCCCATTATCCTCTAGCTCTAGCTTCCAGGTTGTATTGCTGCTAACATTATTTAAATTCATCTTTATTGCAGGTGCAGTCAGGCAAAACCCCCTCACTGGAAAAGCATCAAATAAAGACATTGAATTTAACATCATTAAATGGTTACACCTCGCTGGAGACCGAGAGGGGGGGAGAAGGGAGCGATTGAAGAAGCGTGAGGCCCAACAACACATTGCCGACCCTCATTAGAGACGTTCCTGTAAATCAACACACATTTCAGCTTACCTTTCAAGTTCCTTTAAATTGACCAATTTCTCTCTGTACAAGTTACTTTTATTTATTTATTTTTCTGTTTTTTTCACTCTCAGAGATAAAAAAGCATTAGTCTAAGACTCTTTGAATGTTATTTATATTATTAATATTTATTCTTAATGTTTTCAACTGAAATCCACTTATATTATTAAGCACAACTGAGTAGATGTTAGTAGCTGTTGTCTTAAATAACTATTGTAGTAGCTGTTTTCTTAAAGCATTAGTATAAGACTCTTGAATGTTATTTATATTATTAATATTTATTCTTAATGTTTTCAACTGAAATCCACTTAAATTATTAAGCACAACTGAGTAGATGTTAGTAGCTGTTGTCTTAAATAACTATTGTAGTAGCTGTTTTCTTAAAGCATTAGAGTAAGACTCTTGAATGTTATTTATATTATTAATATTTATTCTTAATGTTTTGTCTAAGACTCTTTGAATGTTATTTATATTATATTAATATTTATTCTTAATTCAATTTATTCCACTTAAATTATTAAGCACAATTGAGTATCTGTTGTTAGTAGCTGTTGTCTTAAATGTTATATTTATTCTTTAAGCTGTAATTAAACATGTCAAAAGTAAATTATTTTGAGTACATTTGTTGTTGAGTGTTTCATTTACCTTTGAGTTAATAAGACTTTTACATACTGTCAGCTGCTGCATGTGGGCCACATAAGGGCCGTTAGATTTTTACAGAACTCAACCATGCTAAAATTACATATAAGGCTCACATATGGGCCACATTAAATTGTATTATTTGGCTTATGCTTGGTGGAGTTATGGCATTCCTTTGGTTCAGTTCTGGCAATGAAGAAGTGTGCCATATTTGGGCCACATAAAATCATATTTGGCTCATGCTTGGTGGACTTATGGCACTGCTTTGGTTTAGTTCTGGCAAAGGAGATGTGGGCCATATCTGGGCCGGCAAACACAAACTAATCTGGGCCACAGCTCAGCGGTTTATCTGGCCCACATCTTTGCCAAAGGAAATTTGCTGACGTGTTTTCACTGTAGTTCATATGTTTTACAACAATTTACTGTGACGTGGCATTATGGGATTGCGCGGGCTGAATACATTTGAAATCTGGTGGACTGGAGCAGGGCAGGATCGAGTTGAAGACAAAAGGCACTATTTACTCAATTTTTGGTAAGTTAACTTAAATTTACGTCCATAAATATTTACAATCTAATGTATTACTTAATCAGCGATTCATATTTTGAACAGAATTCATAACATCGGCATGTCATTATATCATGCAATTATTGATCGACTTGTTGACAACTGCGTGTGTGATGTAAAAGTGTTTGATTCCTATATTTTCCGTCGAAACGTTACGTTTATTTAGTAAAGCAATGTGTCTTTTAAATGTCTTGTTTCAGGCGAGGCAATCGCGACGGCGCGCGCTCAGTGGTGAGGCGATCTGAACTTACAAGCACAAGGTAAAACTATCTTAAATGTTATGGACGAATGCTGCCGTTTGTTACAGTTTTATTTGAGTATTTTAGAGCATTGCAGTTTGCAAGACGACAGATCGGATCCACTTAAGTCTTGGTGAGAGTTAGCTTTCTTGACGAAAACACTGGAATAGGCTATATTAACGTCGTTGGATGCTGCTATTTTTCTCATTTATTTTACCAGTTTTGATGTCGTTTGATTTCGATTTTAGCATGAGAGCACGTAAAACCAGTGTTTAATAAAGGCCTGCATCATAACTATTTAACGCAAATCAATTTGCAGCGCTCAATATGCCTGTTCCTGTTCGTCATGCTCTCCAGAGAGTATTTTTTCGAGCATTTGCAGTTTGGAAAACAAGGCATAGCCTACTGAGGAGTGCTGTTGAGACAGAACGTGAATACGCACGTGCAGTTAGCTTTGCTGATGAAAAACATTAGAATATGATTTTAACATCGTTGCATGATGCTGCTATTTTATCATTTATTTCACTAGTTTGGATTTATTATGGAGAGCAAGTAAACCCAGTGTTTAACAAATCCCTGCGTCATAACTAAATTCAAAATGACTGGCAAACGATTTGAAAGTTAATTTGATTTTCTGTTCAAAGTTTATCGTTTTCTTAATATAACTTGAACCTAAATCTAAATGAGAAATGTATCACTGTAAATTGTCAATATGATAGCAATATCATTGTAGGTCACATTAATGTTCTAAACTGCTGTTTTACCTGTGGTGTAACGTTACCTGACTTTTCACGTGCATTTAAAAATGTGCAGCTTTTAAGTTTCATTTATAGAGAGACCATACAGGTTATCAGAAGTCTTGTAAAGGTGCTAGATTTGACCAGACACAACACTGATTTGCAAGATTGGATACCGTCATTTCACATGCATGTGCAACTCTGAATTACTTAATTAGGCATTTTAAAATGCCATATTGATGAGGGCTGGGAAATCTGTCTACTGCATTTACTGCATATACTGCACTTAATTACGTTACATTTTTTTTTTTCCTTTTATTATTTTTTTTTTTTATTGTAGATGTCAGCAACAGCAGCTGAAGTGGAAAAAAGTTCTACACTTCCAGACTCTCTGAGACTGATTTGTCTTAGGTAATGTACGTTCCAGAATCTTTAAATTACTTAATACATTTTGCCTGTTGTATTTTAGCATACATTTTTATAAACTGTTTTCTTTTTTCTCTTCATTTGTTTTATTTTTAGGTGAAATTCTCACTGCAACCCAGTGGATGCTGAGTATTGAGGGTCAAGTGGTTCTGAATCAACACCCCGATTTCATGGCTGAATTTGCTGCTTTGTTTGCAACTTACTACAAACATTAATCTGGTGTACCAGCAGCACGAGGCATCCTGCACACTTGAATTTGTCCAAAGGTAACAGATTACTGAAATATAAATTTGTATATGTTAAAGGATTAGTTCATCTAAAAATTAATGTTAGTTCACCTGTCATTAATTAACTACTGGCCTTCGTTCGTTTTCGGAACACAAATTAAGATATTTTTGATGAAATCTTACAGGGTTTCTGAACCACACATAGGCCACAAAATCATTGCAACTTCCAAGGTCCAGAAAAGCAGTTAAGACAATGTTAAAATATACCATGCGACTACACTGGATCAGCCACGAAATCTCTTCTCTTCTGTGTCGATCTCTGACGCTGTAGTAAACAGTGCATCGCTTCCAGGTTCTACGTTAGAACAAAAAGTATTCTCATCACTTCATAACATTGAGGTTGATCCACTGAAGTTACACGGACCACTTTAATGAGGTTTTCACTACCTTTCTGGGCCCCGGACGTCGTAATGACGTTGTGGTCTATGTGTGGTTCAGATACCTCTCTGATTTCATCAAACACATCTTAATGTGCGTTCCTGAAAACGAATGAAGGTCAGTAGTGACAGATTAACGAGTAATTAATTACAGAAATGTCATTTTGTGGTGAACAAATCCTTTTTAGTAGTGCAAATAATGCTTATGGTAAAGTGGTATATTTTCATAAGTCTGCACATGATCCTAAAGCTTCTGCTTGTATTTTTCTGACTGATTTTCGAGCAGATGTTTACCGAGGAACATCAATGAAAGTGGAAAGACCTCAGAGAAGAGGAACAACACAGTCAATCCTCATGTGTCTACTCTTTTCATTGGGCTACCCTGTGGACCTTGAGTGGTTAAGCATGTGAGTTGTCAAATGTATATATAAAACAAAAAAACTGAGACGTCTACAATTACACAAAATGTAAAAAAGTACTTTGAAACTAAAATAATAATAATAATAATAATAATAGAAAAGCAGAAATTTGAGTTTTAACAAGAGATGAGAGTTAACAATTTTGCCATTCTGTTGTTTGAGCTTAAAGGGATGGTTCACGTTGAAATTAATTTTTGATACGTTTTATCTTACCTCAAGGGCATCCAAGATGTGGGTGTCTTTGTTTCCACAGTATTTTCAATTTTGACATTTTTCAGTCAAACCGTTGTTGTCCATCAGTCACACACTGGAGGCTAAGGGGGTCCACCAAAGAGCAGCGCAGAGAAGTCCAAATTAAACATGATTTAATGACTCGTAAACGTAAGTACACATTGATGGCCTAAGACCCGAAACGAGCGGTTTGTGTGAGAAAACGAACAGTATTTATATCGTTTTTACCTCGTGTAATCACAGTGACGTCCAAGTGACCCGAATCAGTCGTTCAATGTCCAACTGAACCGAACTGAATCAGTTCAATGTTACGCCGGAAGTGATCGCTTGCGTGTGACGTCACTCAATATTTACACGGAGATTTCGGAAGTTTTACCTTTTACTAAACATGTTTAGATATACCGAAATGGTCTTTCATTGCGGTTAAATATGTTTAGTGAAAGGTGAAACTTCCGAAATCTCTGTATAAACCAAGGGGGTAATCCATCGAGCGGAAGTTGAAGCCTCGCGGGAGCTGACATCTTGTAGCAGAACTTCACTTGCTCCCATTGACTCCCATTCGTGTTGGCGTCACTTTGACAACGAATAACTTTACATCTGAGGCGTTTGAAGACCCCGTTCGTCCTTTATTTATTTCTAAAGAAACACGACAATGTATCAATAGCTCCATTACCTTGTAGCTTATGTTATGGCCCCGTAGATGCAGTCTTAGTGAAAGTAGGCTAACGATTGCGTCATACCCACGCGACTCTCTGCAATCGGGGAAACGTGGAGGCAAAAAGACAAAATAATTAATTAGCAAATACCCAGCAAAAGTTTCTCCTGCTCCTCGCTCATGGACGGCTCCTATTCACACTCTCCGCCTCTGCATGTATCGGAAGGGAACGATTCAGATTTCACATGCCACTGCACTAGAAGACAGACGGTTTGCTCTCGTCACATCTACGTCGTCAAGCTCTGTTTGAGTCTGCGCGTCAGGGACGGAAGTGCTAACAAATGGCCAAAAACGGGCTTCGATCGTCTCAATGGAGTTCCAATGAGATCGCTCTGTCCATTTCTTTTACCGTCTATGGTATAAACGAAGAGTGACGTAGGCGCGCAAGCGCAGACCGAAGCGCCCGTGCCGGCAGATCATTTTGTCATGGCTATGATTACAAGAGGTAAAAACGATATAAATCCTGTTCGTTTTCTCACACAAACCGCTCGTTTCGTGTCTTAGGCCATCAATGTGTACTCGCACGTACGAGTCATTAAATCATGTTTAATTTGGACTTCTCTGTGCATGCTCTTTGGTGGACCCCCTTAGCCTCCGGTGTGTGACTGACGGACGAGAACGGTTTGACCGAAAAATGTCAAAATTGAAAATGCCGTGGAAACAAAGACACCCTACATCTTGGATCCCCTTGAGGTAAGATAAAACGTATCAAAAATTAATTTCAAAGTGAACTATCACCCAAAAATGGAAAACCATTCACCATTTCCTCACCCCCGTGTTGTTAAAAACCTGTATGAGTTTCTTTCTTCTGCTGAACTTAGACATTTTGAAAAATGTTGGTAATCAAACAGTTGGTGGTAGCCATTTACTTTCGATTGTCTGGTTGGCAAAATTCTTTAAGATATCATCTTTCGTGTTCAACAAAGAAAGAAACTCATACAGATTTGGAACAACTTGAGGGTGAGTAAATGATGACAGAATTTTCATTTTTGGATGATCTATCCCTTTTATTAATTTTATAATAATACAATTTTAATTTTATCGAACCCAGTATCTTGGTGTTAAGCCTTATTTGTAGTTATTTTGTGACTGATTTTGAAAAGATTTTCTGTACTTGAAAAAGTAAAATTGTTGTTACCAGTCTTGTAGTAATTTGCTGATTCTTGTAATAAATATTTGTTTTATTAAAATAGATGTTTATTTTAATGCGTCTACATCAATATAATGGTAAATAATTGAGTAGAGTTTAGTTTACTGTTAAAATGATTCTTTTCAGCTTTTTAAACGTTAAACTATTAGAGCATCTACTTGAATTTTGGGGGTATTTACAGGATTTTATTGGCAACTTTATTGCCAGGTAAATACTGTACTTTAGTGAAATTGCAAAATATCGCTGTAAAATAAAATACAGGTTTAATTCAATGTTACTGTAAAAAACCCTATAAATTACTGTATACCTATACATTTCATATACAACAATTAACTGTAAATTGCTTTACAGTGTTACACTGTAATCAATTTTACAGCAATTTCCAACATTTTGACAGGATTTTATTGGCAACTTTTTTTGCCAGTAAATTCCTGTAAATTCTACAGGAAATTTTTTACAGTGAACGTTTCAACCTGTGAGGTGAATATATTTTATTATACTTTTAATTTTTTTATACTGACCTTGTCAGTTTTTACTATCAAATGGCGAAAATGTCAACTTGTATTTGATTAGCACATCCCACGGGGATAGTACCAGTGTTGAACTAGTAGTAGTAAAAAATAACTGTTTGCATTTATACTTTCAGTAAAAAAAAAACTAAGTTTTTAATAATGAGTAAATGTAACTTTAAAATACACTAACATTAAAAAAAAAAAAAAAAAAAAAAAAAAATAGATCCCACTTGAAATGTGTAATATGGAAATGTAAAAAGCTTGTTGGATTCAATCAAAATTACTCGTTCAGAACTCTTAAAGTTATGTAGATCACACACATAAATAAATAAATTACTAGAGCGATGCTAAAATTAAGTGAACTTTATGTGAAAATTCTATTTCAACAAACAGAAAAATTAAGTAGTTTCTACAAAGACTTGTCTCGTTGGATCTACGTGATAAAGTTATGCAAAAAAAATCATTATGTTTTGTAAGTAAATCAAGCAGATTATTTTCATCAGTGTATGTTGGGTGAACGGTTTGTCAATATGACCAGTGTGCATTTATTATGGATAGATGTACCGGATGCACTGAAGACACAGTTTGCGACCCCACACTGTACAGTAACGTTTACTACGTTCCGTCTCTTTCAGACACGACGGACTGCCGTACATTTCATGGACACCCCAGATGGACCGGGACGTCCGTCAACGCCGCTGCCGCAGAAATGGAGGTTTTCTTGTCCGTTTTGCTCTACGCGGACGTTTTTGAATTTCCCTCTTTGGAAGATGACCGGGCCTGCGAGTCACGCTTCCCGCCGGTGGCCGCGGATACCGCGTCGGTGAAGCGCTTCGAACCGCTCCGAAGATACGTCCGCTTCAACGACGACTTCCAGATGGAGGGCTGCCCTGACCGCTTCCGTGAGACGCGCCCTCTTTTTGACCAAAGAACAACGCCCCCTTATTCCACCTACCAACAGGCGAAGTGTCGATGAAGTGCCGGTGGCTTACAAGGGCACCAGAGCTGGCAAACTCGGGCAGTGCGTTCAGAACGAGCCGGACAAGTGGGGGTTTGAGATCTTCTGTCGTGGCAGTGACTCTGGCGTCGTCCACGACTTCGTATCGTACCGAGGGTCCGCAACGGTCTTCGACATTCAAGAGGAAGAGCGTGCACATCCGGGCTCGAAAGACCTCCTCCTCGGCGCCGAGGTTGTCTCGATACTCCGCGACACTATCGCAGTACGCAAAGAGGCAACTGTGGTGTTCTACGACAACTTCTTTACCAGCTTCAACTCGGTGAAGACGCTGCGCGCCAACCCGGGACTGAGAAGCGTGGGTACCGTCAGGGTAAATCGCGCAGGTGATGCGCTTTCGGTAAATACGTTAATCGTGTCAGTTGCGCAATCACGACCAAATCGAACCGTGCGCGCGCACGCATTTTTCTTCCGATGCGGATAGACTGCACACGTGCCTTCCGTTTGTTATAGGTGTTATATTAGTGTTATCGTGAAAACAAATGTCCACGTCTTTCAGGTGGTGCGACATTGACGAGCGATAAGGAGACGGCGAAGCGAGGCCGAGGTTTTGTCGATTTCCGTTCGCCGGAGGGAGTCGTCGCAGCGAAGCGGTTTTGCGAATGGCTCGTGTACAAAAGGGACCGCCGCAGCGTTCTCAAACAGAAACCGATGCCCTTGAAGAAGTCCCGTCCGTCGGTGGCGGCTACGTCGAAGGGAGCCGACGAGGTACCCGCCGGGGTCGGCCGACCCCCGGGTGCAAAGCGCAAGCCACAAGTCCGTCGCCCCAACCCCCGAGTTCTCCACCCCACCCAGGAAGTCCGACACGACGGCGTTGGACACCGGCCTGCATTTGGCACTCGGAGAGGGAGGTGCAACTTGCGCAAAAGTGGAGTGTCGCGTTGGCGACGTTCCAAACGTGGAGATGGGAAGTTGTTGTACAAAAACGAGCGCTTTGTTGCACGTCACCAGAGATGAGTTAAGAGTAAGGCAAGGATGAGACCTACGCACGATGAGATTGATTATTTATTTATTTATTTATTCATTCATTTATTATATTTATAGTATATATTTTGAGTTATTTATTGATTACAGTTGTAATTATTTATTCGGTATTGTGTTTTTACAATGTTTTTATTTTATGCGTTATAATAAGAACATGATTTTAAAATAAATGGATTATATTGTTAACATATTCTACTGTCTGTACTGTTTTTATAGGAAAAAATATTCAACTTGTTCATTTAAATATCAGTCAATTGTGTGTGAGAGGGGGAAAGTTTGGATAAACGATAGGCCACCCCCGACAGCCCGGAGAGGGGCGCTGGTGCAAGAGCCGTGCACGTGGAGCGAGAGTGGCACGGTGCCACAAACCAGCGATTGGCCTAAAAGTGATTTGTTTTATGTTACGATGCATCTTTATTTTTGATTGAATAAACTTGAGTTATTTGTTTGTGACATCGATTCGTGGTACTTTGCACGCGTCAGAAATAAAGCATCGGCATCTCCCGCAGTGGACCAGAAACGTGTTTTTGGAAAGTCTTTTTGAAAAGCATATTTCGTACGTTAAAAAACAGCCTTTTTCCACCGTATTAATTGCAAGGTATTGCTTTTGACTTCTAAAGCTGCAAATGGTTTATCGAACAGATCTTCAGGAGATTTTAGGACACCATCGCTCATCATAACGTCATACCAATCTTGAGTGTGTGTTTTTTTTTGTTTTTGTTTTTTTTTTGTTTTTTACGAATAAACAAACACTGTGATGTTGTCTTGATTGATTGAATCTGTATTATATAAATATATGTGACTTGACGTATGGATGAAAAAGGGAGTTATTTCAGCGGCAGGACCAAATGGGGTAAAGCCATGTATTTTGTAAGAATCCAATTGTGTTTGTGATGGGAATTGTACATTGACATTTTTGAGATGTGTTGCGTGCAACGCAGGGAAACTGTGCGCGAACCAGATGCGGCCTACATAGAATGATTTGGGACAACGGCGTCAAAGGTGAATTTGTGTCAAGTACCGAGCAGACAATGAAGTGAATGAAATGAAACGCCAGTCGGATATGATGGACTTGATGGGTTGGAATTCGTCATGACGTCTATTAATAGAGATTTATTCACCCTGTTGGGTGCGTATTATAGTGATTAGTTTTGGGGCGTTGCTTGCGGTTGTTGTGTTACAGGTGACGTGGCTTCCGTAATCGTTCCGGCAGCTGATTGGTGTTTCGACGGCTGATTGGATCTTGGAACTCCTCCTACTCGTCAGTGGCTGCAGCTGGCTGGGCTGTTTAAAAAGCCGAGGTTTGGGTCTGTTTGGTGTCTGCTTTTGTGGGGAAGTGGTGATCCTCGGTGGAAGCCATCGTCTTCGAACGCATTCTGCAATAGATGTGAGTTTGTTTGCAGGTCTTTGCAGGTGATTTCAGAGCTTTGTCCATGTGAAACGTGAAGTTGAATGACCGCTTTTAAATATGGTCGTGGTGGAGGTGAGTTAGTTTAAAAGATGTGAGGGCAATTGAATGACGCATGTGATCAGTCGTTTATCTCCTATACTTTTGTTTCCCAGATACACACGGCCAACCCGTGGAAGTGTGCCGTGATCCGTGATTTGAGGAGACCGTGCCTGACTGAAAGCGCAAAGGTGTGTGTGTGTGACTCCTGCCTAGGGTCATTGATTCCTTATGCCTGTGCTTGACTTAATCGTCCATCTTTGTTCTCCTACCAGACGAATGCCACGGGCCGCGTCTCCGTTGCGGTTGACGCGTCATTGTTTTTCAACGGCAAAATTGAAGAGCGAACGCGAGAGACTCGTCTCGTGAATGTTACTCGGGAGGGAACGGGTGAGCGATCGAGCACGTATCGTGTATGCTCTTTTCAAGACGTCTTCTTTAAGACACAAAGTTGATATCGTCCACCGTTTGTGTAAGGGCAATTGAATGATGGATGTGATGAAACGGTGGACAATATGAACTTTGTGTCTTAAAGTGGATGTCTTGTGAAGAGCATAAAGAATGCATGCTTAATAGCTCACCCATAAGTACCAGATAAACAGTTTAGCGGAGGGTTTTCTTTACGACCGGATGAACGGCACAGGCTGTTTCTCTCTTACGGTTGACGTGTTTGCTCTTCGAATGTAGCATTGAAAAACAATGACGCAAGAGACGCGTCTCGTGAATGTCACTCGGGAGGGAACAGGTGAGCTTTCTTTACGCTCTTTACGAGACATCCACTTTAAGACAAATTTCATATTTTCCACTGTTTGTGTAAGGGCAATATGGATGGATGTGATCAGTTTATGTGGTGATTACGTTTCCCAGATACACACACGTGGCCAACCCGTACCCGGTCGAGCCTAAGTGGAAGCGTGCCGCGGTCCGTTCGACTCCATTCTGCTTGGTGATTTGAGGAGACCGTGCCTGACTGAAAGCGCAAAGGTGTGTGTGACTCCTGCCGTATTGTTGAGATTTTTCCTTATGCCTGTGCTTGACTTAATTTTCCATCTATGTTTTCCAGCCAGACGAATGCCACGGGCTTTTGCGGTTGACGCGTCATTGTTTTTCAACGGCAAAATTGAAGAGCGAACGCAAGAGACGCGTCTCGTGAATGTTACTCGGGAGGGAACAGGTGAGCGATCGAGCATGTATCGTGTATGCTCTTTACAAGACGTCTTCTTTAAGACACAAAGTTGATATCGTCCACCGTTTGTGTAAGGGCAATTCAATGATGGATGTGATGAAACGGTGGACCATATCGACTTTGTGCGTTAAAGTGGGTGTCTTGTAAAGAGTTTAAAGAATGCATGCTTAATAGCTCACTCATAAGTACCAGATAAACTGATGGGATCCAGTTACACAGTTTAGCGGAGGGTTTTCCTTACGACCAGATGAACGGCACAGGCTGTTTCTCTCTTACGGTTGACGTGTTTGCTCTTCAAATGTAGCAGTGAAAAACAATGACGCAAGAGACGCGTCTCGTGAATGTGACTCGGGAGGGAACAGGTGAGCTTTCTTTACGCGACATCCACTTGAAGGCACAAAGTTGATATCGTCCACTGTTTGTGTAAGAGCAATTCGATGGCTGATGCGATCCGTCGTTTATCTCGTACTTGTGTTTCCCAGATACACGCGGCCAACCCGTACCCGGTCGAGCCTCGGTGGAAGCGTGCCGCGATCCGTTCGAATGAATTCTGCTTGGTGATTTGAGGAGACCGTGCCTGACCTAAAGCGCAAAGGTGTGTGTGAGTGACTCCTGCCGTACTGTTGAGTTTTCCTTATGTCTTTGCTCGACTTAATCGTCCATCTATGTTCTCCTGCCAGACGAATGCCACGGGCTGCGTCTCTGTCGCGGTTGACGAGTCATTGTTTTTCAAGGTCAAAGTTGAAGAGGGAACGCGAGAGATGCGTCTTGTGAATGTTACTTGGGAGGGAACAGGTGAGCTATCGAGCACGTATTCTTTACGCTCTTTACGAGACGTCCACTTTAAGACAAATTTCGTATTTTCCACTGTTTGTGTAAGGGCAATATGGATGGATGTGATCAGTTTATGTGGTGATTACGTTTCCCAGATACACACACGCGGCCAACCCGTACCCGGTCGAGCCTAAGTGGAAGCGTGCCGCGATCCGTTCGACTCCATTCTGCTTGGTGATTTGAGCAGACCGCGCCTGACTGAAAGCGCAAAGGTGCGTGTGTGACTCTTGCCGTACCGTGGAGTTTTCCTTATGTCTTCGCTTGACTTAATTTTCCATCTATGTTTTCCAGCCAGACGAATGCCACGGGCTGTCGCGGTTGACGCGTCATTGTTTTTCAACGGCAAAATTGAAGAGCGAACGCAAGAGACGCGTCTCGTGAATGTTACTTGGGAGGGAACGGGTGAGCTGTCGAGCACGTGTCGTTTATGCTCTTTACAAGACGTCTACTTTAAGACACAAAGTTGATATCGTCCACCGTTTGTGTAAGGGCAATTTAATGATGGATGTGATGAAACGGTGGACCATATCGACTTTGTGCGTTAAAGTGGGTGTCTTGTAAAGAGTATAAAGAATGCATGCTTAATAGCTCACCCATAAGTACCAGATAAACTGATGGGATCCAGTTACACAGTTTAGCGGAGGGTTTTCCTTACGACCGGATGAACGGCACAGGCTGTTTCTCTCTTACGGTTGACGTGTTTGCTCTTCAAATGTAGCAGTGAAAAACAATGACGCAAGAGACGCGTCTCGTGAATGTCACTCGGGAGGGAACAGGTGAGCTTTCTTTACGCTCTTTACGCGACATCCACTTGAAGGCACAAAGTTGATATCGTCCACTGTTTGTGTAAGAGCAATTCGATGGCTGATGCGATCCGTCGTTTATCTCGTACTTGTGTTTCCCAGATGCACGCGGCCAACCCGTACCCGGTCGAGCCTCGGTGGAAGCGTGCCGCGATCCGTTCGAATGAATTCTGCTTGGTGATTTGAGGAGACCGTGCCTGACCGAAAGCGCAAAGGTGTGTGTGAGTGACTCCTGCCGTACCGTTGAGTTTTCCTCATGTCTTTGCTCGACTTAATCGTCCAGCTATGTTCTCCTGCCAGACGAATGCCACGGGCTGCGTCTCTGTCGCGGTTGACGAGTCATTGTTTTTCAAGGTCAAAGTTGAAGAGCGAACGCGAGAGATGCGTCTTGTGAATGTTACTTGGGAGGGAACAGGTGAGCTATCGAGCACGTATTCTTTACGCTCTTTACGAGACGTCCACTTTAAGACAAATTTCGTATTTTCCACTGTTTGTGTAAGGGCAATATGGATGGATGTGATCAGTTTATGTGGTGATTATGTTTCCCAGATACACACACGTGGCCAACCCGTACCCGGTCGAGCCTAAGTGGAAGCGTGCCGCGATCCGTTCGAATCCATTCTGCTTGGTGATTTGAGCAGACCGCGCCTGACTGAAAGCGTAAAGGTGTGTGTGTGTGACTCCTGCCGTACTGTTGAGTTTTCCTTATGTCTTTGCTTGACTTAATTTTCCCTCTATGTTTTCCAGCCAGACGAATGCCACGGGCTGTCGCGGTTGACGCGTCATTGTTTTTCAACGGCAAAATTGAAGAGCGAACGCGAGAGACGCGTCTCGTGAATGTTACTTGGGAGGGAACGGGTGAGCTGTCGAGCACGTGTCGTTTATGCTCTTTACAAGACGTCTACTTTAAGACACAAAGTTGATATCGTCCACCGTTTGTGTAAGGGCAATTTAATGATGGATGTGATGAAACGGTGGACCATATCGACTTTGTGCGTTAAAGTGGGTGTCTTGTAAAGAGTATAAAGAATGCATGCTTAATAGCTCACCCATAAGTACCAGATAAACTGATGGGATCCAGTTACACAGTTTAGCGGAGGGTTTTCCTTACGACCGGATGAACGGCACAGGCTGTTTCTCTCTTACGGTTGACGTGTTTGCTCTTCAAATGTAGCAGTGAAAAACAATGACGCAAGAGACGCGTCTCGTGAATGTCACTCGGGAGGGAACAGGTGAGCTTTCTTTACGCTCTTTACGCGACATCCACTTGAAGGCACAAAGTTGATATCGTCCACTGTTTGTGTAAGAGCAATTCGATGGCTGATGCGATCCGTCGTTTATCTCGTACTTGTGTTTCCCAGATGCACGCGGCCAACCCGTACCCGGTCGAGCCTCGGTGGAAGCGTGCCGCGATCCGTTCGAATGAATTCTGCTTGGTGATTTGAGGAGACCGTGCCTGACCGAAAGCGCAAAGGTGTGTGTGAGTGACTCCTGCCGTACCGTTGAGTTTTCCTCATGTCTTTGCTCGACTTAATCGTCCAGCTATGTTCTCCTGCCAGACGAATGCCACGGGCTGCGTCTCTGTCGCGGTTGACGCGTCATTGTTTTTCAAGGTCAAAGTTGAAGAGGGAACGCAAGAGATGCGTCTCGTGAATGTTACTTGGGAGGGAACAGGTGAGCTATCAAGCACGTATTCTTTACGCTCTTTACGAGACGTCCACTTTAAGACAAATTTCGTATTTTCCACTGTTTGTGTAAGGGCAATTGAATGATGGATGTGATCAGTTTATGTGGTGATTACGTTTCCCAGATACACACACGCGGCCAACCCGTACCCGGTCGAGCCTAAGTGGAAGCGTGCCGCGATCCGTTCGAATCCATTCTGCTTGGTGATTTGAGCAGACCGCGCCTGACTGAAAGCGTAAAGGTGTGTGTGTGTGACTCCTGCCGTACTGTTGAGTTTTCCTTATGTCTTTGCTTGACTTAATTTTCCCTCTATGTTTTCCAGCCAGACGAATGCCACGGGCTGTCGCGGTTGACGCGTCATTGTTTTTCAACGGCAAAATTGAAGAGCGAACGCGAGAGACGCGTCTCGTGAATGTTACTTGGGAGGGAACGGGTGAGCTGTCGAGCACGTGTCGTTTATGCTCTTTACAAGACGTCTACTTTAAGACACAAAGTTGATATCGTCCACCGTTTGTGTAAGGGCAATTGAATGATGGATGTGATGAAACGGTGGACCACATCGACTTTGTGTCTTAAAGTGGGTGTCTCGTAAAGAGTATAAAGAATGCATGCTTAATAGCTCACCCATAAGTACCAGATAAACTGATTGGATCCAGTGACACAGTTTAGCAGAGGGTTTTCCTTACGACCAGATGAACGGCACAGGCTGTTTCTCTCTTACGGTTGATGTGTTTGCTCTTCAAATGTAGCAGTGAAAAACAATGACGCAAGAGACGCGTCTCGTGAATGTCACTCGGGAGGGAACAGGTGAGCTTTCTTTACGAGACCTCCACTTGAAGGCACAAAGTTGATATCGTCCACTGTTTGTGTAAGAGCAATTCGATGACTGACGTGATGAGTCGTTTACGTCGTACTTGTGTTTCCCAGATACACACGGCCAACCCGTACCCGGTCGAGCCTCGGTGGAAGCGTGCCGTGATCCGTTGGAATCCATTCTGCTTGGTGATTTGAGCAGACCGTGCCTGACAAAGCGCAAAGGTTTGTGTGACTCCTGCCGTACTGCTTGGGGTCATTGATTCCTTATGTCTTTGCTCGACTTAATTGTCCATCTTTGTTTTCCTACCAGACGAATGCCACGGGCTGCGTCTCCGTTGCGGTTGACGCGTCATTGTTTTTGAACGTCAGATTTGAAGAGCGAACGCAGGAGACGCGTCTCGTGAATGTTACTTGGCAGGGAACAGGTGAGCTATTGGCTGATGTTAAGCATAAAGTGGATGTCTTGTAAAGAGCATAAACACTATAAGACGCAAATTTCATATTTTCCATTGTTTGTGTGAGGGCAATTCAGTGACGGATGTGATCAGTTTGTGTGGTGCTTGTGTTTCCCAGATACACACACGTGGCCAACCCGTACCCGGTCGAGCCTAAGTGGAAGCGTGCCGCGATCCGTTCGAATCCATTCTGCTTGGTGATTTGAGCAGACCGCGCCTGACTGAAAGCGCAAAGGTGCGTGTGTGACTCCTGCCGTACTGTTGAGTTTTCCTTATGTCTTTGCTTGACTTAATTTTCCATCTATGTTTTCCAGCCAGACGAATGCCACGGGCTGTCGCGGTTGACGCGTCATTGTTTTTCAACGGCAAAATTGAAGAGCGAACGCAAGAGACGCGTCTCGTGAATGTTACTTGGGAGGGAACAGGTGAGCTGTCGAGCACGTGTTTATGCTCTTTACAAGTCGTCCACTTTAAGACACAAAGTTGATATCGTCCACCGTTTGTGTAAGGGCAATTTAATGATGGATGTGATGAAACGGTGGACCATATCGACTTTGTGTCTTAAAGTGGGTGTCTTGTAAAGAGTATAAAGAATGCATGCTTAATAGCTCACCCATAAGTACCAGATAAACTGATGGGATCCAGTTACACAGTTTAGCGGAGGGTTTTCCTTACGACCGGATGAACGGCACAGGCTGTTTCTCTCTTACGGTTGACGTGTTTGCTCTTCAAATGTAGCAGTGAAAAACAATGACGCAAGAGACGCGTCTCGTGAATGTTACTCGGGAGGGAACAGGTGAGCTTTCTTTACGCTCTTTACGCGACATCCACTTGAAGGCACAAAGTTGATATCGTCCACTGTTTGTGTAAGAGCAATTCGATGGCTGATGCGATCCGTCGTTTATCTCGTACTTGTGTTTCCCAGATGCACGCGGCCAACCCGTACCCGGTCGAGCCTCGGTGGAAGCGTGCCGCGATCCGTTCGAATGAATTCTGCTTGGTGATTTGAGGAGACCGTGCCTGACCGAAAGCGCAAAGGTGTGTGTGAGTGACTCCTGCCGTACTGTTGAGTTTTCCTTATGTCTTTGCTTGACTTAATTTTCCATCTATGTTTTCCAGCCAGACGAATGCCACGGGCTGTCGCGGTTGACGCGTCATTGTTTTTCAACGGCAAAATTGAAGAGCGAACGCGAGAGACGCGTCTCGTGAATGTTACTTGGGAGGGAACGGGTGAGCTGTCGAGCACGTGTTGTTTATGCTCTTTACAAGACGTCCACTTTAAGACACAAAGTTGATATCGTCCACCGTTTGTGTAAGGGCAATTGAATGACGGATGTGATGAAACGGTGGACCACATCGACTTTGTGTCTTAAAGTGGGCGTCTCGTAAAGAGCATAAAGAATGCATGCTTAATAGCTCACCCATAAGTACCAGATAAACTGATGGGATCCAGTTACACAGTTTAGCGGAGGGTTTTCCTTACGACCAGATGAACGGCACAGGCTGTTTCTCTCTTACGGTTGACGTGTTTGCTCTTCAAATGTAGCAGTGAAAAACAATGACGCAAGAGACGCGTCTCGTGAATGTCACTCGGGAGGGAACAGGTGAGCTTTCTTTACGAGACCTCCACTTGAAGGCACAAAGTTGATATCGTCCACTGTTTGTGTAAGAGCAATTCGATGACTGATGTGATGAGTCGTTTACGTCGTACTTGTGTTTCCCAGGTACACGCGGCCAACCCGTACCCGGTCGAGCCTCGGTGGAAGCGTGCCGCGATCCGTTGGAATCCATTCTGCTTGGTGATTTGAGGAGACCGTGCCTGACAAAGCGCAAAGGTTTGTGTGACTCCTGCCGTACTGCTTGGGGTCATTGATTCCTTATGTGTTTGCTCGACTTAATTGTCCGTCTTTGTTTTCCTACCAGACGAATGCCACGGGCTGCGTCATTGTTTTTGAACGTCAGATTTGAAGAGCGAACGCAAGAGACGCGTCTCGTGAATGTTACTTGGCAGGGAACAGGTGAGCTATTGGCTGATGTTAAGCATGTAGTGTTTGTGCTCTTTACGAGACATCCACTTTAAGACGCAAATTTCATATTTTCCATTGTTTGTGTGAGGGCAATTCAGTGACGGATGTGATCAGTTTGTGTGGTACTTATGTTTCCCAGATACACACACATGGCCAACCGGTACCCGGTGAAGCCTCGGTGGAAGCGTGCCGTGATCCGTTTGAATCCATTCTGCTTGGTGATTTGAGCAGACCGTGCCTGACAAAGCGCAAAGGTGTGTGTGTGTGTGTGTGTGTGTGCCTTAATACGACTCGTACGGCAGAAGTCACAGTGTTTTCCATATGCCTGTGCTTGACTTAATTGTCCATCTATGTTCTCCTACCAGACGAATGCCACGGGCTGCGTCATTGTTTTTCAACGGCAAATTTGAAGAGCGAACGCGAGAGACGCGTCTTGTGAATGTTACTCGGGAGGGAACAGGTGAGCTATTGGCTGATGTTAAGTATATATTGTTTATGCTCTTTACGAGACCTCCACTTTAAGACAAAAATGTCATATTTTCCACTGTTTGTGTAAGAGCAATTCAGTGACTGATGTGATCAGTTTATGTGGTGCTTGTGTTTCCCAGATACACACCCGGACGAGCCTCGGTGGAAGCGTGCCGTGATCCGTTCGAATCCATTCTGCTTGGTGATTTGAGGAGACCGTGCCTGACGGAAAGCGCAAAGGTGTGTGTGACTCCTGCCGTACCGTGGAGTGTTTTTCTTACGCCTGCGCTTGACTTAATCGTCCATCTATGTTCTCCTACCAGACGAGTGCCACGGGCTGCGTCATTGTTTTTCAACGCCAAATTTGAAGAGCGAACGCAAGAGACGCGTCTTGTGAATGTTACTCGGGAGGGAACAGGTGAGCTATTGGCTGATCTTAAGCGTATGTTCCACTACAAAGTTGATATGGTCCACTGTTTGCGTAAGAGCAATTCAGTGACCGACGCGAGCGGTCGTTTATCTCGTACTTGTGTTTCCCAGATACACGCGGCCAACCCGTACCCGGCGGAGCCTCGGTGGAAGCGTGCCGTGATCCGTTGGAATCCATTCTGCTTGGCGATTTGAGGGGACCGTGCCTGACTGAAAGCGCAAAGGTGTGCGTGTGTACCGTGGAGTGTTTTCCTTACGCCTGCGCTCGACTTAATCGTCCATCTTTGTTCTCCCACCAGACGAATGCCACGGGCCCGCGTCTCGGTGGACGCGTCGTTGTTTTTTTCAACGCCAACTTTGAGGAGCGAACGCAAGAGACGCGTCTCGTGAACGTTACTCGGGAGGGAACAGGTGAGCTATTGGCTGATCTTAAGCGTATGTTCCACTACAAAGTTGATATGGTCCACTGTTTGCGTAAGAGCAATTCAGTGACCGACGCGAGCGGTCGTTTATCTCGTACTTGTGTTTCCCAGATACACGCGGCCAACCCGTACCGGCGGAGCCTCGGTGGAAGCGTGCCGTGATCCGTTTGAATCCATTTGCTTGGCGATTTGAGGGGACCGTGCCTGACTGAAAGCGCAAAGGTGTGCGTGTGTACCGTGGAGTGTTTTCCTTACGCCT